CAACTTTCATCCCCCACCCCTCTCTGCCGATCCCTCCATTGCCTTCCTCCCCTGCCCCTCTCTGCCGATCCCTCCATTGCCTTCCTCCCCTGCCCCTCTCTGCCGATCCCTCCATTGGCTTCTGCTCATCCAAGAAAGAAAATTCAGAATACTAACAACAACTTACAAACCCATCCCTAACTCTACCCGAGCTACATCACTAAACATAATGTCAAACTATTACCCAAACCATCCACTCCAATCCTCTGATGATCTCCTACTCCATCGTCAGCTTCTCCCATGCTTGCCTCCAGGACTCCTCTGGAGCCTCTCACATCCTCTGGAACTCCCTACCCCAATCTCTCTATCTATCTTCTACTCTGTATGCCTTTAGATGATCCCCAAAAACATATCTGAAATTTGAGAAAAAAAAACTGAAATTTCACATTCTCCATCAACTCATCCCCACACAGATATAACCTTTTGTATTACTTGCCACCTCGTTTTAGATTGTAAGCTCTCACGGGCAGGTCCCTCCTAACCATTTTGTCTTGAATTGTATTTTAACTTTACTGTCTTCCTTTATATTGAAAAACACCAAGCAAACTGCTGGTGCTATAAATCCTGTATAACAATAATAATAATAGTATAAACTTAATCTTAAACTAGTCCTAGACATGAGATAGTGATTGGAAGATTTGACCCCTCAGAGGTCTGTCTGAAGCTGACCATACATGTTGCACTTACATTGTACAATCCCCTTTAAATCTACCAACAACTGTGTAGAGCCAGGAGCCTGTCTGGTTAGATATAAACTGAATGCAGTGTATAGATTGTCCCTCACACTACAAAGCTTTGGTAGATCTAAAGCTAGCCATACATGTGGCAATCCGATAGTACAATATCTGTATAATGTCCTTGTATGAGGGCCTACCTTACCATCATATTCAGTGTATATCCAACCAGGCAGGCTCTTGTTCTACACAGCTGTTGGTAGATTTAAAGGAGAAAATACAATAGGACTGAGATGCCTATGGCCCGTTGTACAATGCTTTTCATGTGTATAGCTTAAAGAAGAACTCCAGGAAAATCAAAAACGTACCCTTGCAATTGCCCCCCCCCCCCTCTTCCCCAGCTCCAAGTGTTAAATACTCATT